GAGACGAGTAAGACTTTTCTTGTAGGCTCAGGGAGGTTCCAATCTGCTGTGAGGGGTTTGTTTCACATCTCGTAGTTTCTTAGCACACACAGACTCCTCAGCAAGAGTGAGTAATGGAAAGAGCATTTACTGCACAGAGGTATTTGCAAGCCAAATTCATGCATAGAAACATTAGATCTGTTTATGATCTGTTGATCATATGATCCAATATCTATGTAAACCATTTTACCTGTGGTTTTCTGGGATTCTTCCAGAAGTCTGTAAACACTGCAGAAGGTGCTTTCCCTTTCCAGGGCAATGAATTTATCAGCACTTTGTTTAACAGAGTCTAAGAAACATTAATTTTGCACAGAAGAAAGCTGGTTAGGGATGAGACGTATTTGATACAACTCTTTTTGCAGCTAAATACAGTTAAACCTGGGTTTTGTAAAAGTCCTGTGGGATGCTTGGCTCTGCCATACTTTTATGGTCTTGGGGTACCCTCAAGAAAAGTCATATCCTGATGTGCTCTTTTGTGCCAAAGCCCATGTGTTTCAAGGAACCCCTCATACTCTCAAAAATGTAATAGTTCTTGAGATTTTCGTCCTAATAACAAAAGGTGTAAAGTATGTTCTTAGTTTTGCTGAGAAACTGAGTATTCCTACCTGTCTTCAGGAATCTGAAGAGGGACATAGGTATGGCAAAAAAACCTCTGACAACGGATGGAATTTAATTTTGCTTCGACTATGACAAAAATAATTTTGAAAATTTGTGTCTTGGAACTGAAACTGGAACATGATACTTGGGTTGCAACACATCTTTAGAGAGAACATGTTTAAGGATTTGTTAAAAATGCTTTGTATTTTGGTATAGCACATGCATAATCCTTTAATTCACTCAGGTTTCTGGAAGCGAGTCAGATGATGATTCAATTATTTTCAGCACAAACAGCCTCTGAAGTGTCATCATCGGTATTATCAACAGAGTGCTCATAAACTGATGCCTCTGTTTTCCCACATCTCCTGGAAGTGACACAGAAGTTTGAAGCTATAATACCTTCAGCCATCGCTACAACTATAGCCCAGGTCTCTGACACACCATGAATCTACGGAAAGACATTCCTTGTGTTGACATGCCTTTTAACTGAGGATAGGGCTTTCTGAAGCACAGTGTACTGTAGATGTGGATTGTGAGGATGTCATTATGTAAAGGCTTCTGAGAAAATCTTCAGAGATAGGAATGGTGGTAGCAGTGAAAGAAACTCAGTTATTCATACTGTGTTATGACTTAAAAGAAACTCAGTCTTTCAGAAAGTAGAACACTAGGAAGGTGAAAAAAGGGGTGGGAAAAAGGATCTCTCTGATATAATCTATCAGACTCACAGCTGGGCAGATTTGAAAGGATTGTAGCCTCCAAGTGAGTAAAATAAGACACCTTTCAGAAAGTTCAAATAGCCTGGAAATCACCTTAAAAGCTATTTAAACTCACCTGTAAAAGAAACTAGGTTGCTACAATGTGTGAACATACTTTTTTTCCAATGTACTTTAGTCTACATAGATATTTAAGCAAAATTCTTAAAGCATTTTTACCAGTTATTGGACATGTGGCTAGCAAAATGGCTCAGTCACCCAGTTCTGAAATACCCAGTACATCTGCAAAGCATTTTGAGGGGATACAGTAGAGAGAGGTCTTGGGTTAATTCACTGCAGGGTTTCTTGTGGATGTTTCATGTGTTCTGACAATTTGGAGTACATTTGTTTTGGTGGCAAGTTAATAAGAAAACAAAAATGGACAAAAGCTTTCAAATATGTTTGTCCTCAGCTCTGTGACTCCATGTGATGGGGAAATGCCTAAACAGAAAGCAGTTGGCTTATGGGAGAACATGAGAGAGAGGTGCTTAGCATGGTCCTAACCTGCTATCAGTCCCATTGTGGGCACTTGTCAATGGTAGGGTTGGACTTCCAGTGGTGATGTTCTTACAATGGCAGGTCACATGAAGCTCCCAAACCGTTTCATGTGACCTGGTGTCCCAAAGGAAGCTTTAAATGATGTTTTAACAAGTCTGATCACACTAACCATAAACCCAAATCTGCATGTAGCCAAAAGCTGTTGTGCTGTGTATCTTGAACAGACAGATTCATTGGATTAGTTCACAGGCAGGAGGTGAGATTAGATTACTAAAGGTATCCTCAGCTCTGTAGCAGGATGGGGAAGTTCTTCATCCTCAGACATGTCCACCAGCACTGACCTCAGCAGTGTTTCTTTTCTCCCATTTCAGGGACTCAGATTATCAGGCAGTTCTACTGCCAGAGCATCCCTGCTACTGGTCCTCTGAAGTTCTGAGGTTTGAGCTGCTAGCAAACTCTCTTCAGTTCAAAAGCTGCGGGTTTGCTTTTCCTGACTTAAATATTAACAGACTCATTATTAAGGTTGAGAACGACTTGAAAACAAGTCACTGAACTCTTTGGTGCCTGAATTGCAACCCTTGCCTACTAATTAGTTGTAACAAACAATAGGGATAAACTTGAGCTGTCTAATTTTGAGAACACCAACCCATTGGACAGTAAAAGAGGAGAATGGTGTCATATGAACAGGGAATACCTGTGACACAAACCCACAAGCATCTGAGCCACAGTATTGCTGGAAAAATCTTTGAGAAAGGATCCTCTCTGGAGCACAATATGACCTGAATTATGCATCCTCAGCAGATCTCTCAGCTCAGAGGTAAATGGTTCCCATTGGCCCTCCAGATTCTTCACATATTGAACCATGAAAATGAAGGAGGGGTTGGCATGGGCTAGTTTGTTAAATTTTGCATGTTCCTCTCAGTTTTGGTTGTGAGTACAGACTTTCTCCCCCCCCCCCCTTCTTGAATGCAATGCTGGAGCTTTCAGTTCAAACAGACCTACATGTTTGTATGGAAAAGACAACTTTCACTTAGCTTCATGTCAAACCAGCCATTTTGCAAGCCAGCCTGGCTAGGAATTTGTTTCCATTTAAGGAGCATTTCTCAAACTGTGGTTCATGGGTTGATTCCTCAACAGCCAAGGAAGGCAGATATATTCCCATGCCATGCAATTTTACCACAGCTCTGTGTACAGGCTGAGTCATGACGATTTGGTATAGAAAGCTTTTTAGAAAAGGATTTTAAAATATACTTCTATGGTTTCTCTAATAAAAGGTTTCTAAAAGAAGGTGTATTACCTTTAGCAGCCAAAGGTAATCAAGTTGTGGGTTTAATTTAAAAAAAAAAAATCTAAAATAGAACATAGCATCAGTTAAATGTTCCCCTTCCTGGATGGCTAAAAATGCTATGAAATATTGACCAGCTCTTTGCTTGATTGGGTGCTGGTTTGTTTCAAATGAAGCATGTTCAAATATTAATTTTTGGTAAAAAATAGCTTTTCAGTGAGCCTGTGCTTGCATGGAGGATGAAATGATATAGGCAACTGTGTGTGTTCCCCCAAAAGCTTGGCTGATTTATTTTGTGAGAGCAAATGTATTTTAAATATAAACTAGAGATGGTAAGAGGTTGTGGGTGGCTTTTTTTCTATTATTTTCAAGTCACCTGTAAGAAATTTCGTTATAAAAGTCAAGAATAGCCTATCATTTAATCAGTTATAAAAGGTTAATGTAACCCTGTATAACATTCTTTCTTGGTAAGAAAAGATTACCATTTTTACTTAAAAAGATTGTTTTCATGCCCCAGAAAAAAAAAAGAGATAAAAATGTACTAAATACATTCCAAATATATTTTTTTGAAGTATGAATAGAAGTATTTTGAGCACTTCATAAACAATTAGCACATTTTAGAAGGGAGAACTAGATTATATACTGATTTTCTTAAATATGTGATGCTTTAACTTTTTTTGTTGTTTTTCTTATCCCTCTCTCTGGAAGTATCATCTTCCTTGGTTTTGCTGAAGTATCTGTTTATTATGTTTTTATCACACATAGAAGGTTGTGTTAGTTAGATTAGTATAGTATCTATCTTTTTCTCCAGATTGTTTGTTTACTGAAGCTGTAAATAGGTTCCTTAGAGTTGCCAATCGGTTATTAAAAGGAGACCTCTCAGTTCGATTTTCTTCTGCTGTGGCTGTTGTTATGTTTGTATTTTACTGGCTTTCCATTCACCATAAAATAATCTAGGTGAGACAAAACATAACTTTCAAACTCAAATGTTTTCCCCCAGAATGCCCCCCAAACCCCAAAGTAACAATCTGTAACCCTTTTCTAAATTATCAGTTTTCTTGATGAGCCTTTAAAATCTCCAGTAAATTAAACCACTTTTTGCTTAATCCCTTTGCCCATGGATTTAGAGCAGCCATATACCAAGGTTGTTCATGACGCACTCTCCTCCTTGGCATCGGCATTGAGTTTAACAGTAGCGCCTGGGCATCTCTCGCTCTTCACTGCTAACCAAACCCACACGGGATGGTGTAATAAGCTTTGTATTTGTTCAGGGCTTTGATGGTAACATTTTATTGTCAGTGTGATCACACTCACGGTGATAGGAACAGCTGAGTAATCAGCTAAACGAGGTAGCTCTTTAGAAGCAGGTTACTAGAGTGTATTACCTCATTTTGTGTTATAGTGCTGCCTTTGCTTGGGACCTGATGTCTTTCTTTTGTGCCTTGGACTGACTAAGCACGATTGCAGGCTTTCTTAAATACACAGTCTGTTAATGTCATCATCATCATCATCGTCATCTACCCTGTATCCTAAAAGTAGCATTTAGATTTGAGACTTCTAAGGAAAATCAATTGAACTTCTCAACATGCCTATTCAAAAACATCTCACTATATTTTTTTTTTTTCTGAGGAAGAAAACTGTATGTGAAGAAATAATGTATTAAACTTTTGGTAACAGAAAGTGTTTGGATACCTCTATTCTGAGATGTTCAAAGCTTTCATGTAGAAGAAAAGGGGAGGGAAAATCTATACAGCAGAGCATCTATAATATGAAGGGTCACTTATAAATTAATTGCTGTGCCTACTCACTTTTTAGCTTTTTATTTTCAGGTCCTCCTGTTATTCTATGGGCAGTCGAGCCTTTTCCCATGACAGTATTTTTATACCTGATGGGAGAACAGAGAGCGAACAGGCCATCCAAGCAATGTCACAGGAGAACGTTCTAGGAAAAGTCAAAACTCTTCAGGTAAGATATTATAAGTGAGAAAAAATATTTAAAATGTGGTGGAAAATGTTCTCCAGAATGTGTTAAATGTGGATAAAGGTGGGTTGCTTTTTCAGTAGCCTTGGGGCACCTTCTCAGCCATGTAAGTTGTCTGGCCAAAAGCCATGTAAATAATTTGGATAATCTGCAGAAAGTCTAGCTTTTGGTCTTGAAAGGTGATTGGCAGTGATGCTGCAAGCAAATCTACAGAAATGTCTGCATCTTGTGGAACTCATTTGAATGGAACTCATGGTTTTGGCATGTCCTGATCTGTATGCCTGAGACTTACAGATGTGGTAATGAGTGAAAAAATGAAGGTGGTGTTGGCGGCAGGGAATGGCACGCAGAGTGAGGCTTCTTTGCAAAGCTGATTTAATTATCCTTTTATACTTATTCCATTTTATACTTTTCCAGTACCTAAAGGGGGCCTACAGGAGGGATGGGAAACACTCTTTATCAGGGAGTGTAGTGACAGGACAAGGGGTAGCAGTTATAAACTGAAAGAGGGTAGATTTAGATTAGATATTAGGAAGAAGTTTTTCACTGTGAGGGTGGTGAGACACTGGAACAGGTTGCCCAGGGAAGCTGTGGATGCCCCATCCCTGGAGGTGTTCAAGACCAGGCTGGATGAGGCTTCGAGCAACCTGGTCTAGTGGAGGGTGTCCCTGCCCATGACAGGGGAGTTGGAACTTGATGATCTTTAAGATCCTTTCCAATGCTAACCTTTCTATGATCCAATGGTTCTATTTTTTTTTCTCCTTCTTTTTCTTCCTGTCCTGTCAGTGGTTCTCATGCTTCTCCAAAGCAAACAGCACATAAATAACTACATAAATTATACATTTGGTTGTTTGCTTCTAAACAGCTTTACATGACCTGCTTTCCCTTCCTGAACTCTGTCCCAGCTCTAGCTAATTTTTTGCTTTACTTCTTGCACATCTGTAAGATTCCCACCTCTACACCTAACTAGACCTTGAAAGAGCTGTCCTTCAGAAGCATGTTTCAGTTTATTGCTCAGGATGCTGACATGTCCTGTCAAAATTCCAACAATTTTTAATGCTGTGTATGTGCCGTTACCCCTGTAGCTGACTAGTAAAATAGCATTGATTTATTTCACCTCCAAAGTCTACCCGCAGTCCATCTTTTCTGGTGAGTGAGAGATCATGCATGGTCGAGAGATCCAACCTTCAGGATGGAATTGTTCTTTCTTCCTGTCCGGTTCTGTCATTAGACAGAACACCTGAACAGCATTGGCTCTGCTGACTGTGGATGAACTTTGAAGTAGAAACCACACTAGGACAGCTCCAGTTTCTCTGTGCTGGTTTTTCAGCTTGAATTTCTCTGGGTCAGGTAGATTCAATGCATGCTAGTTTCCAGGCTAGAAACCATTCAATTTTAAATGACTGCTGACTGGGCAAACATGTGAGGTTGGACTTGTCTTGCAGAATACTTGAGTGTCCTTTGGATACAAAGCCCACTGACTTCTGCAGGGAGCTGTGCCCTCCTTATGTGTTGGATCTGTTGTCTTGGCTTCAGTCCATTAGCTTTTCCCTGAATAACTTTTCACTTTGTAGTGGTGGCTTCTTCCATTTCCAAACTCACCTTAAAATTCCCGATAGAAATTATGTCCTTCACAGAAACATGATAAAAGGTACAGTTACTGCAGTTGCAAACAACCATCTTCACTAAGCAAATGGTAACTCAAGAAAATTAAGGCGAAAATAGTCACCCTTGAAAGTTATGAAACAAATAGCCGGTAATATGCTCTTGCTCGTGTGAACTTTGCATGAGCCTTTTTTTTGGTATGGTTACTTGCATGTATTTTAAGAGAGAGTGTTTTTTCAGCTGCTTGATGTCAAAAATGTGCTTACCTTTTTATTTAAAATCAAAGGACAGTAGTTAATTTTTATCATTTTAATATAGCTGCAACCCAGCCTGTAACAACAACCCCAATTCAGCTTTTCCCACTCTACTGATTAGGGTGGTATACAGAACAACCCATTCAGTCATAAAGGAAATGCATAATAGTTTGCAAATTACATTTTTAACTATTGACATATTTACAAAGAAGTTATATGTTCGTTTAAATGTCCATGTATTTTTTTCGTAACCCCATGGAAAGGCTCCTTTTAACAAGCCCAGGGGCCACCTCTTGTGGTTTCTGCAAAACCTGCTGCTGCCTAGCACAACTGTCCCCATTTCCCTAGCCGTGATTTCTGCAACTGTTCTCTGAGGTTTAGACAAGACCATGCCAAAATCCCATTGCACATTTTTAGATTGACCTTAGAGTTGAGTCCCAGGTCTGACCAGTTATTTGGGCTATCATTCCTGTCTGAATGTTTTATGCACTCCATACCCCATGCTTTTTTTCTGCTGTAGTATTCTAAAAGGAGACTGTGTTTGCTGTGTGACTTTGAAATCACAGAAAACACTGATAGTCTCCAGCATCAGAAGCTTGTATCTACTTTGAAGTCCCTTTCTGCAAGCTCACTCCCACTGGGAACTTCTGTGTTTCTTCAAGTGGTAGAACAAGAGGAAACAGTCACCTCTTCTGAAGAGTGCTCCACTCCTTAAAACCAATTCTACGGCCATCTCCTGCTAAAGTCATTGCTACACCACCAGCATTACTGTGGTTTTTCCCAGGCTTGTACATCACAGTGGAAGCACAGCCTTTCCAGTTTCCATTTGCCTGGCAAGATGCTCCTTAGTAAAGAAGCGTTGCCAGGATTCAGTGCCCTGTGCTGGCTCTGAACTCATTATGTTCCCAACAGAGATGAAAAGCTCTGTGGATTTTAACCATTTTCAGGAATTTTTGTGGGGTTGTAGAATAATTTTGGAAGAGGCACCATGCTTACAAGCCCAACTGACAGCATGGAAAAGGGTTTTCAAATCAGAATAGGAATGCAAGCTATTTACTACTGAAGATGCTGGATCTCATTCTACTGATCACCAAAGCGTTCCCCCTTCTCACCTTGCCTTTCTGCTGACTTTGGAGTCTTGATGAACTGACAAGAAATGTTGTGTAATGGTGCAAAACTCTGTAGAAATCTGGGCAGCTGGCCAGCGTATGCACCGGTTCAGATTCTTATTGTAGGAATTCTCTCTTTCTGCTTATGTGTGCAAGGTAAATCAGTTCTTTCTGGAGTAGGTCTCATTTATTTTTATTGATTTTAAGATTTGCAGCATTCATCTTATCAGGCTTTCTGTAAATGGATTTGGTCATGTTCAAAGGTTTTAGTGCGTGCTAGAGGTCAGGCTGCGAAAAGCCCAACTTCATGTTAACCTTCAATAGCCTTTATGTATCTTGAAGTTATTTTGTGTTGGCTGAAGCCATCTGCTGTTGTAAAAGTAGTCTTTTTCTTGTCCTTTGGATCTGCTGAGATTTATCACTATCCAGTTTTTAAGATACAGCATAGAAAGCCAGCCTGAACCTGCTCCCACAAAGAGATGGTACCCCAGACACTGGTACTCTTAATGCTGAACTCATTTAGTTTCTTGGGATCTGGTGCTTTACTTCTCATACAGGACTGTGAATGAGACACAAGGAATCCTTAAAATCTAAATCTGGCAGTGTGTCAGAACAAATGTGAAAGAAACTCTGGGAGCTTGTTTTCACATCCTTTCCTTTCATAGGGTAGTGGGTTTTTTCATGCATCAAAGTGTTAGCTCTATGTTCCAGCATTTCACAGCTGTGACTGTTCTTCTTACTACTGATATTTGCCAGAAATGGTCAGCAAATGAATAGAAGACAGTTTTTCTTTCAGACCCACAAAAATATCTCTAGAGATACATATACAGTTTGCTTCTTCACCATTCTTCTATTTTGGACTCTCCCAAAATGTTTCTTGAAGTGTAATGCCCCAAAACAGATGCTGCTCCAGCAATGGAGAGTAGAATACGTCCCTCCCTGCATATCCATATAGCCAACACACCTGGGGTAATACTTCTTATTTTCCTCCTTTTCAGTACATTTAGATGTTAATTTTACATCTAGTTTACTTTCTAAATCTTCCAGATATACCAATGTAACTTCTCGCATGATGCTTTCCAGTTTATTTTCTCATTTTGATATATATATTAAAAAAAAAGAAACTAATTTCTTATGGGGGGTGTTTTGCTTGTTTAGATATGCTGCAGATTCTCCTGTTTGAATAAAGAAGTGGACTCACTTCCATAAAAAGAACAATTAGGTAAACTGTTGTTTCTAGAAAAGAAATTGTGAGAGAGAGAATATGATAGAGATGCATGAAATCGTGAGTGGAATTGAGAAAACGAATAGAGGACAATTACTCAGTCTTTCACAGCATGAGAACACATGAGCATCAGTTGAAACTAGTAACACTTCCAAACCAAAACAAATTGTGCGTGTGGTCCCTCCAGCCACTGTTTTGTGGTATAGTTGTCATATGTGGTAGCTGTGCTGTTTTGGTGCTGAGATTGGTTTGTAAGTCCTGTGGAAACACCTGCCCACTGGATGCAAACTGAGGGACTGGGAAAGCTCCTTGGAATTGATAAGGCTGGAAATGGAAGGTGCAGGCAGGAACTCTTCATCTGTTTCCTTCTGCTTCTAGCTGGCAGGTAGATTTTAGAGCAGGATGGTGATTTCTGGCTGCTAAATTACTAGCCTTCTTGCACAAACCAAAAGGGACCAGATTCATTTAACTGAGACCAATATGCATCTATGGAGATTTCCAAAGGAGTATTTAAACACATGACTGCGCAATGGTAGAAGAACAAAATATCGTGCTTGTGACTTCTAATGACCGACATTGCAAATAATCCTCCTTAGGCAACCATCATCCAAATGCTGTCAGCACAGGGAATTCTCAAGTACAGGGGATTTATAGTTTTGTGTTCAGAAATATATGTGTAACCAAAACTTTTCAGAAATTTAAAGCAGATGCTCTTTTTCAGGGAATATGAAATATTAAATTTATGTCTCTCTCCATCTCTCGGTTGGACTGTATGTTTTCTTCCAAGTAAAAGTTGTGGGTTTTTTCTTTTCTTTCAGGGATGATGCATTTTTAGGGTTTTATGACTGACCAGGTAGAGAATGTATCTGTATGATTTTTTTTGAGAGAGGATAATTGCACTGTAGTTACAGTATAAGCACATTTTTAAAAATAACAAGGAGCAGGTTTAATGTTGCTCTTTGAAAGTAATGAGAATAAATTTGCTCAGTGGTAAAAATAAGTTATTTGAGGTTTTGACATTTGGCATTCAGCATTAGCTTTGGAGATTAGAATGCACTGAAAGAAATTGGCCAGTGGAGAACTATTAGTGGAGTTCATTTAAGATAACTTTGTTCAAAAAAAGGCAAATAAATAATACAGAGATGAGCCTTCTGTCCTGGAAGAAATCTGAGGGCTACTACAGTTTCTTCTTCAATCTTCAAACTAATTTATGCAAGTCTGAGCAAATAAACTTTTAAATTTTTGAAGTAATTAAAAAAACCCAAGCCTGTGTACAGTCCATAAATACTGAGGACAGTCTATTTTCCTGGAAATATCAGAAAAATAACATTTTAAACTTTTATATACACAAATACACATTCTTACAGCAGAGCCCTCAAGCATCCTTGATGACAATTAAAAACGCCGTTCTTTTTAAAGCACAGACCATTCTCCACAATAGCTCCATCACCACACAGCTCCCACTGTGCATTGCACACACAGCAGATCAGAACTTGATCAAGAAGATCAAGAGAATAACACATCATCACTTCCTCCAAAACATATTGCAAGCAATATGTACATGTGTGCATGTTCCCACCATGGAAGAGATGCACAAGTCCTTAGTTTCTTGGGCAGTTGCTCAGGTAATGCTGACCACTGTTCTTCCTGGGAGAACTATTTGTCTAGGCATATGGCTTCTGTAAGAAGAAATGAGGAGCCTCAACTTAGAAAACACATTATCAAATTAAGAAGCTGTTCTGTAGCAATTTTCTACTAGCATCAGAGGACC